GAGCGGGGATTTAAAAATGGCGGAGCCCCGCTTATGCAAATGAAGCCCGGGAAATTCAAATCCCGGGCTTCATTTGCAAGTGCGGTATGCCTACATTACCCTCCTAGTTCGAACTAGGAGGGTAGTGTAGACATACCCTTTATGACTAACCAATTAGCCTGTCATAAGACTGGATTTTCAGGTCTCTCCCCCACGTCGGTCCTCTCTCCTGAGCCTCTGGTCTCTTGCTCTGTCTCTCTCTCTCTCCTCCTCTTACTGCCTCCCCTCCCCTCTCTCTCTCAGCTCTCCTCCACCTCCTGCCTCTCTCTTTCTCTTCTCCTCCCCCTCCTGCCTCTCACTCGGGGGACCACGGAGCCCAAACGGTCCGTGCTGGATGGGGAGTGCGGAACCCAAATGGTCGCTTGTGCCACTTGCTCCCACACAGTGGCCTGGCTGGGGAGCGCAGAAGGCAGCGCGTGGCTGAGCAGCGCAGAAGTCAGCCGAGTGCCACGGCGGGAGGTGAAGGGGGTGGGGCGGTGAAGTTCACAGCCCGGGGACAGGGCCTGGAGCCACAGTCATGCCATATGTTACCGCCCCACCCCTCTTCTCCTCCCGCTGTGGTGCTCAGCTGACTTCTACGCCACTCAGCTGGGCTGCCGCGGGGGAGCAAGCGGGGCAAGCGGCCGTTTGGGCCCCGGACTCCCCATGCAGCATGGGCCGCCCAGTGGGAACAGCCAGCATTTCAGGCAACAGCGCTGAGCAGAGGGAACAGCCAGCGTTTCAGCGTTTCAGACTCACAGACACTGGGCTACTATATATATGACTAGCCAATTAGCTTGTCATAAGACGGGATTTTCAGGTCTCTCCTCCACGTCGGTCTGCTCTCCTGAGCCTCCGGTCACGCCGCACGTCACCGCCCCGCCCCCCCTTCACCTCCCGCCATGGCGCTCGGCTGACTTCTGCGCCCTTCAGCCGGGCCACCGCGGGGGAGCAACGGCACAAGCGGCCGTTTGGGCCCCGCACTCCCCATGCAGGACGGGCCGCCCAGAGGGAACAGCCAGCATTTCGGCGTTACAGACTCACAGACACTGGGCTACTGTATGTATGATGAGGAATAACTTCTGTTCCAAAATAGCTACTTTGAAATAAGGCGTGTGTAGACACTCCACTGCTGCTATTTCAAAATAGCCTCTCCCCAGCCCATTCTACGTTATTCCTCCCCAGAGCCTCCTGGGGCTCTAAATGGAGATAGCATGTCTACCTTAGGGGAGCCTGCCTCAGACTCATCTTGGGTATGTCTAGACTACATGGCTCCTTTGACAATGCCGGGTAAACTAGTTTACAAGGCTCTGTCGGTGGAGCCATGTAGTCTAGACGTACCCTTTGAGTCTTCCCTGCAGTGGAATCTGGAATTGCTTATTTCGAAATAGCATGCAGTGTAGACGTACCCTAAGCTTTTCACAGCAGAAACTGTCTCCCCTTCTGTGTCTGTGCAGCGCCGCCCACAAGAGGTTCCTGGTCTCGGCAGAGGTTTCTAGGAGCTACCATAATGCTCATAATAAGGAGGCCATAGAGAAATGTACAAACTGGATATGGCACCTGCTGATTGGTCACCAGGCAGGTTCCACCCCTACCAGGTCAGAGTCATGCCACTAGTGATTTGCAGCTGCCACCTCTCCCCGCCCTCGTGCCACGTCTTGTCCCCCTCCAGGCCTGGCTCCCCCTACCCAGCTGCTTTGTCTGGAAGGTCAGGTTCCCGTTCTTGGTGGGGTTGGTGACAACGTCCATCACAATCTTCTCCACACTGTGCAAGATGATGGTGGCCGAGACGGAGAGCTGCTCCATGCTCAGGTTGGACCAGGAGGATGAGGCAAATCCCCCAGCGGCTTTCTACGGGAAGCCGAGCGAGAGAGAGAGAGCTCTTATTGGCTATGCTGTGTGACCCCAACAACTGTCAGCCAATCTCCTACGAGCTGCTGATAGGGCCCTGCCCCTCGCCCTCCACGAGCTGAGTATCCACCATTGGTTTGTGCCACTTGGCAACGTCCCCCCTCTCGTGGCTGGTCCATCGAGATCTGAGCCAGCGACAGGACTCGGGGTTTGCTCTAAGGCCAACAGGCAGCTCTGAACGACTTCGGTGAGCCTTAACTCAGGCACTACCGGCTCATGCTTCTAAAGCTGGGTGTCCCTTCCTGGCCTTCATAGCACCAAGCAGCTTTTACTACAGCTGGGGTGGGCAATGATTTTTGAGGGGAGGCCACTCCAGGAGTTTGGTAAATGGTCAAGGGCCACACTTGTCTATGGAGGGAGTGTGGTGTCCAGGAGGGAGGTTGGCTGCAGAATAGGGATGTTACCATATAATCAAGTAAATGGTTAATCAATAATGTTCACAGTTAAACACAAGTCCCTGCCCTGCTCCTGGGGAGCCAGCTGCCACCCCACGCTACTGCCTCTGTATTAGCTTAAAAGCCGGCTTTCAGCGTGCTCCATCACCCTTGGTTTGACCCAGTATGGCTGTTCATTCCTTCTTACACCTGAACACTGCGACCAAACTGCCAGGAGTCTCTTACCTCCAGACAGACGGTTGAGTTCTCCTCTTCGCAGGGCTCTCCCAAGGCCCTGAAGGTGGATTTCAGTAAAGTGCAGTAGGCAGCCTGTGCAGGGTGGCAGGAGGGAGCCGGAGCACAAGGGAGAAGCACACAGCACAACACACATTCAGTGTCACAGCTGAAAGGTTGGGCTTATGGTTAAGGCCTTGGGCTACAACCCAGCAGCTGGGGGTTCATACTACAGCACAGTCACTAAGCTGCTCTATTTTGCAAGGCTTCCGTTCCCCAGCTGTACAGTGGGGCGACCAATCCCGTCGTCTTCACTCAGAGTGTAAGTCTGGTGCAAATGGACGGCCTGTTGCTGTGTGGCTATGCAGCACCTGACACAACGGGGACCCTGATCTTGGGGGGAGGTATCTCTGCAGAGCCTGCTTGAAGCCAGAATACTACTGCAAAGGATTGTGGGTGGCAGGAAGGAACAAGGAGGATGGAGGCCAGAGGTTCCACTGGTGGCACCGTGGGGCTCAGGGGCAGGGAGGAGCTATGCAGGGGTGTAGGGAGGGTGTTATGTGCTGGGGGGGGGCAAAGGCAAAACTGTGCTGAACTGCACAGCAGGAGCATCCCGCGCCAGAGTCGCTGGGCTCCCAGACAGGCCTCTGAAGTGCCTGCTCCCGCCACCCGGCCCAGCCTCAGTGCCTTGTCTACAAGGAGCAAGTGGCCTGGCAGCTGAATTGTTGCCCTCCTAGCATTGCGCCCGAGGGGCAACTGCCCCTCCCCTCGCTACACCACTGGAGCTATGGCTTCCTATGCTGGGATTTTCCACCCGCTCAAGATCTGACAGTTCTTGCCACTCTCCTGCAACCTGCACGTTGCTGCTGGTTTGCTGGCAGGAAGGGCAGCCTGTCGCCCCAGGGATGAAAATCCCCTCTGCCAAAAATGCTACCTGCGCCTGGCTTTGCTGTTGGGGGCGGGGCGACAGATTCTCCAGAGAAACTTAGTTCTGGTGGCCCTAATGCCAGGTCCCTTAAAGAAGTTACTTGCCCAAGAAGTGGCAAGCGCCCCTCCCTGGCATCCCAAGATCACTGAGTCGCTTTAGTTGGGGTTCCCTGCGCTGCCTTTGCCATGAGCATCCTGAGAACACTGGAGCCTGATAACGCTGCCAGGATACCTACATCCTCTGGGGATGAGCCGTGACCTGTGTGCAGACTCTCGTTCTGGAATTTCCTCACCAGATTGTTCTCTTCCGAGAAATGGGCCCGGCACTTTGAAGTGACCTCTAGGACGAAATAAAATGAACAAAAAAACCCTCAGTCAAATGTGCAGTCTGGTAACTATGATGGCCTGGGAAATTAGCATCTCCCTGGGCTTTCCCATCCAGGGATGCAAAGCGTTTAAAAAGCTGCGTGTACAACCAGTGACTTCCAGGCCTAGAATCATAGAGCACTAGATCTGAAAGGGACCTCAAGATGTCAAGTCCAGACCCCTGCCCTCATGGCAGGACCAAGCACCATAGAGGATTCCTGAGAGATCTTTATTTAACTTGCTCTTAAATATCTCCAGAGATGGAGATTCCACAACCTCCCTAGGCAACTTATTCCAGTGTTTAACCACCCTGACAGTTAGGAACTTTTTCCTAATGTCCAACCTAAACCTCCCTTGCTGCAGATTAAGCCCATTGCTTCTTGTTCTATCCTCAGAGGCCAAGAAGAACAAGTTCTCTCCCTCCTCCATATGACACTCTGTTAGGGTATGTCTACACTACCCTCCTAATTCGAACTAGGAGGGTAATGTAGGCATACCGCACTTGCAAATGAAGCCCGGGATTTGATTTTCTCGGGCTTCATTTGCATAAAGCCGGCCGGCACCATTTTTAAATGCTGGCAGTTCGAACCCCGTGCTGCGCGGCTACACGCAGCACGGAGTAGCTAGTTCGGATTACATCCACCGCTTCTCCCTTATCCACAAGACTCATTATCCTACCAAAGAAAGGTCTCCGATGGTCTGACAATCTTTACAATCCTTGCTGGCTCTTCCCTATCACCTTATTATCTTCCAGTGTTTGCAGATGAAGTCCTTATTTACTTGCTCCTTTATCTTCCCTGGCACAGAAGCTAAACTGACTGGTCCGTAGTTTCTAGAGGTTACTACCCAAGCAAACCCGACTGTTTGCTGATACCCGATGTGGGTGGGAGTGAGGAGCCAATTTCCTCTTGGGATTCACAGCCAGGCCCCTTCTCCAGCAGTCAGATCACCCTTTGTCAAGGACAGCCGGAGACAGTATGGTGACACTTCCCCTTCCCTCTCCCGCCCCCGGAAGGAAC